GATATGGTATAGCGATACGATAGATGCGGTCGATCACTTATAGAGAAAGCATGCCTTACAGCCCTGGAATAGGGCATCGAAGACGGGCGGGCTACTGGCTACCATACAATATTGAAGACAACGGATTAAAGGGACGCGAGCAGCCGAAGAATTCGCTGGGAATCTCTGGTTTCCATTTGAAGATGCAAAGGTGGTCCCCAACAGACCCAAGAAATGGGGCTTCGTAAGAAACGATAAATCGGCTCTCTAAGAGCTGGACGTAAACTTGGCTGATCCCCGCAAAATGACTTACCATCTCTCCCTTTCCTGCAGGAGAGATGCCTGCAGGAGAGATGTAAGAAGCAAATTATGACCGGGGCATGGTAAGCATGGCAAGAGCCGTAACGTAAGTCTTTTATAAGGTCATTTCCCAACACGACTACAATAGCCTAGGTCTAATATCATATTCTTTTGCCTATCACGTACGACGGGCGTAGACATTCAAAGTAGCATGGCAAATCAACCACAGGATCCCTTTATGACTGGTGAGCAGCTTCGTCAATTACAAGGCTGCGTACACCGAAAACTCGATGACTATAACTCCTCCTTGCGCATGTTCGTCGGACATGTAGGCTTAGATCAACAGATCCGGACAGCCATAGGAAAGGGTTGGAAATCTCCGCCTATATCAGCACAGAACACAGCCGTTAAAGCGCTGAAGGATCAACCCTCGCATGGGCCGAGGCAGCTTAAATATGTTTTTCCAATCCAACCGTTCACGCAGCAGCTTGCGGATTTATCGCTAGAAGAGAAACCGACTTATACTCCCTTGTCAGAAGGGATCCAAAGTCAGAAGAAGACGCCATCATTCCTAGATGCTCCTCTAGGCTACTTCGAACTGCTTGGCGATCAGAAAGCTGTTCTAAGTACTCGCTGAGTGGAGCTGGCCGGATATCCAGTAGGCACGAAGTCTGGATTGGAACTAGAAATCAACTAAGGCTGTTCTTTTTGATGAACAGTTACCAGAATGAATAGTGATGAACGGTAGGATAGGGTATGTATTCTTGGGGATATATTACCATATTATATGGTAATGGATTAGTTATCTAATTATTGGTTTCTGTTGGTTGACTTTTAGTCTTTTCAATTATAAAGCTAGATAATCACCTCCTTTGCTCGGGGAAGCAGATCTAGATCACCCGGGAAGGGTGTCATCCCAGGGTCTTCATCACCAACACCACCGATATCGATAATAATAAAAGCCTAGGGGTTAAATGATAAGCCAAATGAGAATGCACTTCCTTTATATCTGACAGAATCTACAACTTATGTTATTCCGGCTTAGGTGACCCTTGGGATAGGGCTGTGGTTATTGGTCAAATGAGTATTGCTGTTCTAAATTTTGGTGTTTCGGTACGTGTGTTGAACGCGTACAAGACATATGATCACCTTAAGACAGCCTCTAGAATACATCTCTTCGAAGATTTTGGAGTATCTATGAAAACTAATGGTAATATGCGGTCAATGCCTCCACAGGAGGACAAGAAATAGGCAAAGCCTTTTTCCGGGACCAGTCCTATAAACCATCTATTTGTGTAGCTTGAAGCCTCTGACGAGCAGCACTGTCGTATTTGCCTTGATCCCCTACTAGTACCTAGATATTATTTACCTTGAAATTAAGATCCCTAGTGAATTAGTCGGTTTAGCACAATTATACCCATGTTTAGGTATAGGTTCGTCATAATCTCATTATTTTCAATGTTTGGGTACCTAGGTAGAGTTGTAGTTAATCTTATATTGATGGCTGAGGAAACTATGAATGAATAATTAGATATATAGGAAAGATGTAGAATTTTATAGTTCTTTTTCCTATTGCTTTCTTAATATCCGTACCCGCCCACGGCTTCTTTATTCTACCCTACTATATTCGTTTTCTTTAGCATTTATAGTAATCTTTCATTACCAGGTATACAGTTTTGGGTGTTAGATTGTGGTTTCTATTGTATCTCTTAGTCGTTCTTATTTAAAAAGGGAACCAATTTTTAACCTTTTCTACCATCTTCATTATATGCTTTATAGTAAAGGAATTTGGGGTAGAGGACCGTACGAGGGGTATATGGTGGCTTGCGGGGTTTCCTGTCAGGGCTCTCTTCTGTACTTTTACTCCTCTCATTCCATCATCTTCTAATCCTTTATTCCTCTCGTTGTCAAATACTGGTTTTGCTACAGTCGAATAACCGGCCTTCGCGACAACGTTGTCATGGCATACAATCCGCCAAACCTCGACCATGTCGTCGTGTGCATGTACCATCAAGGCTTGTGATTTGTCTGGAAACCGCCAGAACGTATAGAAGAAGATGGCATATTATAATTAGAGAATTGATTATATAATACGGTGTGTTGTATGGATCTAATATCTAACTCTTATAGTACTCTAAAGGATGCTATAAATGTCTGTATCTTAGGGCTGAGATCGCTATAAATAAAGCCAGGCCCTGGGGTTCTTAGCATTTAAATGTACAATATAATATAACATTCTAGTATTTGAACATTACCTCGCTATAATCAGAGCGACCTACACCCTTACTTCTAAGGTTAAGTATTCAATATGTATCAATATTAACCAGCAATTAAAAAAAAAACCAAGTATTAATTAATATGCAAATTTATCTATGGATGAGCTAACCCGATAAATGCTTGTGATATTTAGCGGCCTGGTTTTGGTAATTTTTAAAGTATAATCTTTTAAATGTTATTTAATGCATCCTAGTAGCCTATAAGTTAAATCCCTTATAAATGTAATGGTCTTTGTTGCTAAAATCGCTATATTTATAGTGCATCTGTACCTAGGTACGCACGATAAAAATACCTACATACTGTACCAAACCAATAATTTGCTTACCATCTTTTTCTAGTATATCGAGGACTGTATAAAAGCCAATTCCTATCCATTTATGCGATGAAATTTCACCTTCTTCTGTCGAATGCCAGAAATATGCAGAAACTCGTTACCTGCGTCGTCTCCCGTTAGGTTTAGACGGTGAATGACTCAACTTGCCCGTACGTGCAAAGTTCAAGATGTTCTGGTGAAGGCCCGGAAAGACAAGGGCTTCGTAGCATCGCGCGGTTGTCATTGGTTCCACTGAAACCTGTCGTTCTGGCACCGCATTGGTCCTTTCGAGAGTAAAGAGGCAGATCCCATGCGGAACCTTGCAGCTTGATTTGGAACTGCTTCGCATGTGCAGGGAAGACGAATTGGTTCAAGTAGTGGTTGATGACGATACGGTCCAGACGCATGTATCGCCACAGCTCCTCTATTTGTCCTATGTCGTCGATGTCGATAACATTCCAATGATGCAGCGTTTCTGGCAGGTTGGCACAACCCAAAGACCACAGCTCATACTGCATGGCTGGGTCATCAGACTGAAGGACGTGCTGTAGCCCTTGGCGAAACTGTGCCATGGTTAGTCCTGTATAGTAAAACGACAAGCAGGTAAATAATATTGCGACGTCCGGATGGCCGAACTCAGACTGCTCCGAAGGTGTTCCTTTTGCTTCGAAGGGCACCGCGACAGGGTGGCGGCTAGGATGCAGACCGTATTGCACGTTCCATCGCTTATTTAAACAGAGAAGCAGTATTCTGTTAACCAGGAGTCCTCGGGCCACAAGAAGCATTTTCAGTGTTACCTGCGGGTTGATGAATGCAAATTGGGCCTGAATAAAATCCACCTCGTTAAATTCCCGCTTGGAAAGAATGCGCCGGATGGCTTTTTGGCGATTTGGAAAGCTTGAGTCCACAGGACGGAGAAAGCTAGTCCGTCCCGCGCATATATTGTCTAAGATATGACCGTGAATGGCTTCCTCCACGTCGTTATTCAGAACGTGCACAATAGGAAATGATCCTGCTCGCTCCAACACCTCTATGCCAGCCGGGAACTTCTCTTGCAGGACAGGAACGTAGTGGGCCACCATGGCCAGCAGTTCCTCCGCCACTTGCCACCGGAAAGGGTGACCGTCAACCACCATTTCAGGACCACTAGGATAGTTCAATTGTGTCTTCGTTGCCAGGGTAAAGTCACACTCATCAAGGACATCGCGGCAGTGCTTGTCCAGCCATTGCTGAGCTTGCCATCGGCAAGATGTTGCCAGCCGCCAAGCTTGTACGACAGCACGTTCTCGTGACTCGTAAGAATTAGACCTCTGCGACTACGCATTTGACGGTATAGGTCTGCGTAGAGGTCTAGCACGTCAGGCACAGACCGCGTTTTCCGTGAGAAAGGGACGTGGAGTATCTCGCGTCCGACGAAGCCGCCCAGACGCGACTGTGTTATCTGTGCCGTTTGCATAAGCAACGCCTTAGGTACGATTAAACGCGCCAGGTCCTGGCCCCTTCTTCTTCCTCGATTTTACCACCAAGTTCCCGATCTCGTCAAGTTCCGGTTCGGGGATTGGCCCTTCCTCAGAAGGTATAATGGCGGTAGGCTCTCCTTGGCACTGGCCTGTAACCGAACAGCTAGGACTCGGCTGTAGTACGCGCTTCTTTTCGCTCCATAGTTCGACGATAGCCCTGAGAAGAATACCTAAAACTGACAAAGTCTGGCCAGACTGCTCCGCAGGGCTGCTTATTAGGTGTACGGGAGGGTTTTCCATAAGCGGCTCGATCAGCGACTTGAGATAGTTATGAAACCACGGATCATCAGCTGTAGGTGGTGAATAGGCGTTCATCACCATGTCGAGGAGCTGCGTCACTGGTATATCGCGCCCAAGGCGCTCTATTTCGCCCTTAGCGAGCGTTTCTAATGCAGATAGCTCATATTCCCGGGCAATCGCGTACGCTCGGACACTTGTCCCGAACTCGGCAGCACTCTTCTCGAGGAAGGATGTTCCTTTCGGCCTGAGGCATTGATACATGCCGGTCAAGAAGTAGTAGACGAGGACGTGACCAGTGTCGCCAGGGATGTCCTCCAAATGGAGCGACATATCCCATTCGCAATGCGAGGATAGCTTGGAGTACTTGTCGAGCAAAGCAATAGGAACGCTAAGCGGTGGCCCATCTCCGAAGTGTAGAATAGCGTGAGATCCAGTATACGGGCTTTGGGTTCTAATTAGCACCAGGCCGATGCAACAAGACGAGAATATGGCACCTTACGATGAATCTGGTCGCGAATCTACCACTTCTACATGATAGTTCTCCGCTATCGGGGCTGATATGGTGTCTTTGCATTCTCCCATTTTCGTTCCTCGACGTGAAATGTACTACGCTGTATACCGCACGCAACGAAGTATGCGTGTGGCGTGTAGTCCAGGACCGACTACAGGAATGTCTAATTTGGTGATGAAGGACAGATATCACTCGTGCAACGAAACAAAAAGAAAGAGAAAGAGATAAGAAGGAAATTGCTACGGACGCCACCGAGTCTCACGTACAGAAACAATGCTTGGTTGGTCATGTAAAAGGGTGCTTATTGACCCGACCCTTGTGCGTCGGCGGGGCGACTGAAATCTCCACTTTTTATATACTGTTTGGAATTCTTACAACTGTCAAGTTAGATGGTCCAAAACCTGTTCCCTTCATGGCTAAAAAGAAGAACAAACAGCAAAATTACAACCAGGCCAGACAGATCAACCATATTAGGCACTCATTGAATGAGTTTCCACAGAACTTAGCACAGAATCTAAGTCGGAGGCTAGCCCTACGAGAAGCAGCCCAACGAGAGACAATACCATCGACATCCAAGGCAGATAGTCCCCCGGCCTACGAATCCTACTTAGCCATCTCAGACCCCCAAGCCGACTTACAAGCGGAAATGGCAGAGTCGAAGAAGCCCCTTGTGCAGGGGATTGCCAAGTGAGTATTTCTAGGGAGATTCTGAGGATTCAAGGTAAGCAACTAACCTTACCCGGCAAGACTATTCAACAACACCGAACACGCCGACATGAAGATCTTTATCGGCGCGTTCGAGCTGAGGTATTTGGGAATTGCCATATTACAAGAGGGGACTGGCTGGTGGTGGTGGTACACGCTGGGTGACCTTAAGGACACGAAGGGAGAGAGGGAGCGGGATACGGTGTAAAGGTAGATTATAGATTTAGAATTGATAGGAATAGATAGAGAAAAATAGATCAAAAGGAATATACCACACAGGCTAGCATTATATCTTCCCTTTGTTACAGAAGGCACGAGCCTAGTTCCTGCATCATTGACAAAATAGCAACATTTGCAACAAGCTTTAAGCCAATCAAATTAAGTAAATAGACTGTGCAAGTAGGGAGCTGCATCCTGATTTCACCTAGGAAAGAACCCCGCATTGCAGATCATCTCCCACTTCTAAGAGGGGTAAGGTAGCAGGCGTAGCGCACTATGTCTTGATCCCTCTTGTAGGGAATTAGGGTCCCCGCAGGGCTATATAACTCCCATTTTCAATCAAACCCCCACCAAAACCACAACCTGCTTTTAATCAAGGTCACCACGTCACCCCTGGTTCGCGATATTACTGCTACCATCTTTTGTTCCAATCTTTTCTGCTCTTCTGGTTTCTATGGTAAAACGAGATGGCTTCACCGCTTCACCGCCATCAGTCGTCCCTCGAAGGCGTTATTAATTTCTCTGCAGAGCCGCCCTTAGAGGCAGCCCAGCGCATCGTTGCCAAGCGCAGGTTCTATCGCATCATCGAGCATTTCGAGACCAGCAGTAACAATAGCGACGGCAGTCCGTATAAGCGCCCTCAACTCGTCCGATTCACCTACGAATATGCGCTGTCCGAAGAATCCCGCGATAACCTGTTGCGGGCCTTTTTCCGAGCCATGGCACTCTCCATGGGCGACGACAATCAAAGTATCGATTTCGAGGAGCTACGCCTGGTATTTTTTGACTTCGCGGACTATCTTCTGGATAACTTCTTTCTGCCCTGTAAGGCTTTATATGTGAAAATGCCTGCGTCATCTCTTCGCTAATATTCCCTAGTGAAAGCCTCTACCAAAAAGACGCCGCAGCCCACCCCGACCTTCCGATCCGCATTCGGGGACGTACAAGGGGCGGCGGCTTTCGTAGGAACACCAGCTCGAGTATCAGCGCTGCGGGGTGATTGTCTTGTGCGCGACCGCCATCGTTGCGTGATATCACAAAAGTTTGACCAGCGTGAAGCAATCAGCCGCCTCGGTCGTGATGGTGATGACGCTCAAGATGATGACGGGACTTTGCTAATGGAAGATCTGAAGCCATTTGATGCCCTAGAGGTAGCTCATATTCTTCCACATTCCTTAACAAAGGCCAACGCAAGCTCCCAACTGGTATATCTCGTTGCCCTACAAATATACTCTTAAGCTAAAACTCTTTTAGGATCCATCCCAACAAGCCGCGCTTGCGGTTCTCAACATGTTTGATACTGGACTTGCACATCTCATTGAAGGCGTCGAGATTGACCGGCCACGCAACGCTATCACTCTCACTCACGGTCTCCATGATCTTTTTGGCGACTTCAAGATCTTCTTTGAACCGGTTTCAGCCGACCAACATACCTACCGGATTGACTCGTTTCTCCCTCGATACGCCATCCGGGACCCAGCCCTTCCTATCACTCGCACGCTTCATCTTACCGCTACCCGAACAATTGATCCTCCCTCACCCCGACTTCTAGCCGTCCATCGTGCTATTGCGCATATTCTCCACCTATCAGCAGCAGGAGAATACATCGACAGGTTGCTCCGGGATATGGATGAGAAAGGCATACGGGCGGATGGGTCTACCGAGCTGGACCGCATGTTGAAGCTTCGATTGGGGAGTGTAGCTGGGTAGTAACCTTGTCTGTAATAGTTTAGAGGAAGCTACGTTTGGCTGAATGGTCCCGTTAGGCCTGTGACCCCTGACCGTATCGATTGCAACACTTGCAGTCTTCTTCCCGTCGTGGAAGCCTTGCTTTCTTTCCGCTTGAATTAAGTTCTCTAAAGTCTCAAAGTATCCATACAATCGATAATAGGCAAGTCTTGAAGTGGTGCCCCCGGCTTGAATGGTATCAAATAAAAAGTTAAATATGTCTTGAATTCGGGTGTCGGTATTAGATGCGTCCGCTGGGATCTGGCTGGATTGTAGGAGGTTCTCGCATTTTGATTGCATTTCCTTTTCTGCATTTGGGATGACAAGGCTCTGGACGAGCTTGTCTATTCCGTTTAGCTGCGAATCGGCCACTGTTAGAGAACATAATTAGAACAATTCATAAGCAAATTATATCTTATAATGTATAATTAGGGGAGAAAAAATCAAATCATATTGAAAACCTCTGGGCTTCTTATACGCCTTGAAAAGCTTGTCTCGATATTAAATTAAAATTTATAAACTTTCAAAAATTTAAAGCAAGAACTAATAGTTTGCAAGTATAGGCGAAACCATTTCAAGCGCCAGGCAGATACATTTTTCTTAATGAGTTTTGTTCTGAATATCCAAATTGGCTTGCCGCGCGGGTTATCAAGGACAGTGACCGAGAAATAGATCGGGGACTATTTTCTTAAGCCGGGGCCGGAGTCACGATATTGCCGGGAGATAATAAGCGTACCCCGGATGTTCTACGTAAAAAGGAATCGCCACGGCAGAATAGGTGGGATTTTGGCATAGCCGCCCGAGCGTAGATCCGACAATTCAGCGGCTGCTTCGATGTCTTTCCTTTCTCTCCAAAATTCATCACCTAAGAGACCTATAAACCTCGATGGCCCAGATACCGATCTCGCAACTGCATTTGAGGCGATGCATATCGATAACAAGAAGAAGGCATGTAACGTCTCATCGTAAGTGAGCCACTTGCCGAGCTTCGCAATCCGACAAGCTAGCCACAGGATTCTCTCCTTGCGGTCGTCTGTCATAGAGGCGACTTCAAAATACTTCTCATCATCGTCGATCTTGTCGTTGCTGAACCAATCTACTGGGAAGTACTTATCTACCCAGACAAGGCCCTTCATGGCAAAATCCTCTGGTAGCGGACGAGGAGCGAGTTCTTTGTCCTGCCTAGGGAATTGTTCATCATGTATTCTATGATGTTCTCTGTAGGAGAGGAGTAGGGAGTTGAGTTGGAGAGATATTAGTTTCCAGGGGATTATCTTCTCAATGAAGGACGTTGAACTTAGGTAATGCGTGAGGTGAAATATGAAACGCGTACATGGTCGGTTAGACCACCTAAGAGAGCATTGCAGAAACTATCACTTAGAGGACATTCCCCGTCAAAGAGCAGTATATCCGGAGAAGCATCGGATTGATCGTTGCAGTGTCTATAGCTGGTGGCGGTGCGCTAAATGTCTTCGGCGAGTAAATGGTAGCTGGACATGTCTAGAGTGGAATACGGTATGCGACTGTTTCAGGAAAGAACTTTAAGCCAAACTGGGCCATAAAATAGGTGTTATTTCTGATAGTTATTTAGATTGCTCAATACTTTTCCATGTCTATTGTTTAGAAACTGATTGGGATATCTAACTATATTTCTGATTTAGGTATTTACGTCATGCTACTCTCGTCTCGCAGCTGCAGACGTAGCTAGGAAGCCTCGCCAGCCCCACCAGCCACCCCACTGCTACAACTATCCCACCTTGCTTTATTGGCTAGGAAAGATTGTCGGCTTGGCATGCATTCGCTTAGCCTTACCTTAACTCAATCTACGCTATGTGGTAAAATGGTGCCTATCTTATCAGTTGCCGTTGCGAAGCTGCTTTTTTTTCCTTGTAAGATACCATTACCCAGGGATAACATGTCGCCATCTACAAAGTAGTGTTGCAATACATACTACATCGCATAGTATTTCAATCAGCCCAGGGGGAGGAGCTTCTATCCTGCTATTTAAACCAGCCACCAACTTCAATTTGGCGTGATGGAACGCGCGGGCGTTGCTGTGGGTTTGTACATACTTCCACCCTCTGCGCTTGCGTTCGACTTGTTTTGGTAGCGATTTCACAATGACTACCTACCGTGGTGAGTTTGGAAGGCATGCGTGCTCGTGCGGGGACGTATTACCAAAATTGCCCTGGACCAACTTTTTTACATCTCCGAAAATAATCACCGTGAGCGCAATCATCTCGGCAATATAACAAGAGATAAGTTATTCTATTCTTCTTGGGTCCCTCCATCGTTTATTCTTACCTGCTAAACGAAGCTTCTGCAAAGAAAATAATGGACGATCCGTGGGATTGGGATACTAACAGACTGGTACGAGAGCTTTGCTCTTTGGACCGAACATGGACCCCATCGTCGAACAACCCGAAGCTCCCCCATTCCCTTGAAACTCGCTTGCGTGAACAAGAAGCTGATGGCCATACCATCCTCACGTACAACGAGGGAGAGCTATTTGATGCACTCGGCATCCAGATTCTGAAGCACAAATCGACCTGCCGAGACGCCCTTAATCAGTTCCGTGAACAAAGCCAAAAATACAAACTCTTCCAGACCGAGCCTGTTGACGATCCATCTACCGAGCGCACGATAGTCGCACCACCTCGCAAGCAACGACGGATCGCCCCGACCGCTGTTTCCTACGAAAATGATATCAACGCCCAGCATTTTCTATCCTCCTTCGGCCCCGATGTCATCACTCGGCCGGACCGACTCGACGCGCCGGCAGGCATAGATGGGTTACGGGAAGACCCGATCACCACCGATGACGATACAATTCTTCCTCTCTACGGCGATTCGGATTCGGATGAGGAATATGATTCCGAAACATGGAAGGAAATTCAGCAGGAGCAAAACGAGAAGATAGCTAGTGGCAAGCACCTGCCGGCATTCGATGCTGAAGTTATTACGGACGAAGCCATCCAAGCCTTCGTCTCGGACTGGCAACGGTGCAAACTCCCTAAACTGGTACCACGAGCTAATAAGCTTTGGCACGACGCCCGAAAAAACGATTTGAACGAAGCCGTCGAACAAGTACGTGGTACCCTGCAACTCTACGAGACTCGCCTCGGGACATTGCGTGAGGGTATTCTCTGTCAGCAGTGGTCCGACGAGGCTGAACTTCGGTCTGTCATACCTGCCCTGGAGCAGACAGTCTTGGACTTGCAGTCTGCCTCGTGGCGGCTTCGCATCGTGAGCTCGCCGCAAGAGCCCGACAAGCTCTCGCCCTCGCAATCAGCTCCAAGCCATAGTACGAAGCCTCGGCGCTCACGGCTGGACAATCGGGACGGCGAAGAAACGCTGTCTAGCGAGTCAGAAGGCGACCAGGGTGACTTCATCGTTAATGACGTAAGTGATGAATTAAGACCTTGCCTCGAACTTAGCTTCGTCCCTAATGGATGCTGACATGCTTATAGCCGGAACCACATGCAAAGATGGATGATGGGGAGATCAACAAAGAATCCGAGGCATGCAGCAACATTTACGACGCCACGCCGCCCCAATCATCCCAGAACCCGGGCGGTAGAAAGCGAAGACATTCCACGAATGATACGCAGTCCCCTGGAAGCAGCAAGCGCCCCTGCAACAGGGAAATCATTGAGCTCTCTTCTTCTGATGATGATGATGATGATGACGAAGCGAGAATTTTCCCAAATGAGCTTGTCTTACGCGACGAGTCCGTGGATGATATGCATGGTAGTGAAGACGCCGCAGCCAACGAATTCGGCGGCCGCTATGCGAACCGACATATCAACGATGGCGACTGGAGCCGTCTATGTCGACTCTTTCGATGTCCCGAATCTACGACGAAGCTACAGCCGCCCGGTTT